TTTAAAACAACTTGGGTATGTTCGGAAGCTCGATCTGGGTACCAAAGAAATTAATCTCACTGAGCCCATTGACATCTGCGATTCTCTCCTGAAATGTGAAGAAAATGATCCATTTTTGAAATCTATGATAACAGGCAATGACAAATGGATCGCCTACAACAACGACAAATGAAAAAGATCATGGAGCAAGCATGGTGAACCAGCTCAAGGCACTTCAAAAGCAGATATTCACCAAAGGAAGGTTATGCTGTCACTCTGGTGAGATTTCAAAGGTATTGTGTATTTTGCATTTCTTCCAAGGAACCAAATCATTCATTTGGATGTGTACTGTCATCAACTGGATAAATTAAATGATGCCATCAAACAGAAGCATCCAGAATTGGTGAATTGCAAAGGTGTTGTTTTTCTCCATTATAATGTTAGATCACAGACAAGTCATCACAGACACTCATCAAAAATTGTTGCAGCTTGGATGGGATGTGTTACCACATCCACCATATTTGCCAGACTTGGCATCATCAGACTATCATTTGTTTCATTCTTTACAAAATGCTTTGAATGGTAAAACCTTTCCTGGCTGATGAGGATATCAAATTGTTCTTAGAACTGGTTTTTGATGAAAAGGATAAGAACTTCTTGCAGTGTGGAATCATGAAGTTGCCTGAAAAATGGCAAAAGGTGATTGAACAAAATGGACACTATATTGTTTAACACAGCTTTTGTTTCCCATGAAAAATTTGCCTTTCATTTACTCAGAAAAAAACACAATTACTTTTTGGGCAACCCAATATTTGACCTACATACCTACCATCTGATTATCCCTTATCAAAGTCCCTCTGAATCTAAGGATCAGTCTCTCACATGTTCAGGTAAGCCCTGTAGGTCTTGCCTGCTGTGGGAAGCTGAATGCTATGCCTATAGCTTTGCAGCCACTTGAAATCATTGCTAGACACAGCTCATTTGTGAAGGATACTACCACACTGCAGGCATCCTATGGTGAGGAGATCTTCCCACCAGCAGTACAAAAGAACCAAAATCCAGCAGCCTACAGTATGTAATACATCTTTTGGTCTCTGCCTACATGGTTATGCTTTCCACTAATGATAAATAAACACTAAATCAGCAAGGATGCTTTTAATTTATCTTCAAGGATCCAATAAATGGCAAGCACCTGTTGAATAATTAGATGCCTAGAAAATAATGTAAAATTACAGTTTGTATCATATAGCCAATACATGAGTTGTCTTACATCTTAATAATGATTATTTATGTTATTAAAATTACAGAACTGATAAATATGCTTCTGGAATTCTAGATAGAAGACTTGAAGGTAAACCCTCCCCAAGCAAAAGAGATCAAGAAAACCCCCAGATTCTGTTCATTTTCGTAGACTTCAGGATTGGAAAGTTTTTGTATTTTCTTTTCTTGGTGGGATTCCAGTATGAAAGAGACCAGAGGAAGGGACGAAGCAATATTCAGAACACTTTTAACTTACAGTGACAGGCAAATGGAAACAATTTGAAACAGGACTGGAAACTCATTCAGCAAAATAATCTAATTCAGCAGTTTCATATAGCAGTGACATCATAAAACCATAAAAGAAATATCATACTAGCTCAAAAAATTTCAAATATTGTAGTAATATATACTGCAAATGGGAAGACCCAAGGAAAAGCAAAGAAGGCAGTGAAAAAAAGCCAGCTCATTAATCAAGTGAATAAATGCTGACAGAAGAAAATGTAAAGAAAATTATTCTAAGAAATGAAAGAATTAAAAATGGACTGATTTAACTTTATATGTTACTTACAGAATTAAGACATAGTATAACCTTCAGTGATATTTTCTTATTGTAAATAGGTAGACTTCTGTGAAACATCTCATTGTGCTGCAGTTTAGGATCATAATCATCACTACTACTCTCACATCATCACTGATTTTTGTCTTTATCTACTATAGGCATTTTTTTTGCTTTCTTCTCATCTGATTCTCTTTCATAAATAGAGCAGAAGCACAAAACTTTCCTTCAGTTAGTGGCTCACCAATTCTTAGTCCATTTTTTTTCCAAAAATTTCAACTGATTTCAAGTTGCAGGAAAATCAGATGGCACATGTGTTGTGTTTGTATCTTAAAGCTAGCATTATATTTTGCAGCAAAATCTTCTGTGTGGCTAACCATGTCTTAACTAATCACTAGTATTACTTCTTAAGAAACCAAAAGAAGTTTAAATTGCCTATTTACTCTATTTAAAGAAAGTGGTTGGTAACTCGTGATCCTTGGAAGTCTCCACAGTTCATCAGGATCCACAGTACTCTCCTAGGAGCCATGTAGCCATTATAATTTTTGCAAGAGTCTCAAGGCACTGTTAAGCACACACTGGTATAAAGGCTCCAAAAGGCACTTTTGTGGATATCTTTCTGGTCTTTGGTGAGTGCAGGTCACATGTCCCATGATACAGTAGGACTCCAAGTGCATGGTCCAGGTCCACTAGCCCCACTGAAGGATTGCTCGTTTTGCCACTTCCTTCACGATGCCCCTTGAGAAGAAACAGGGAGGAGGTGTGGGACCTCCCTTTCCACCTGGGGATACACCTCAACTCAATGAAACGTCAGGCCGGTGTCCTCCTTTCACTCCTTGAAGCACTGCCTAAAATTTCCCTTTTACTTCCCAAAAGCAGCTGGTGGCAGCAAGTCTGAAAAGTCTACGTGAGAGCAGTTCGCAACCTGCTTCCCAGCAACAAAACCATGGAACCTATTCCTGGGGTAAGGAGGTTCTGGAAAAACTGCTCATTATGTTCTTTTGTGTATGCATCAGTTATGCATTTGCAAAGGGACATCATACGCATAGAAATTTCATTTCACAATCAAGATTATGATTCAGGCTAGACAAAAGCAAACAGATGATTAGCACAGATATTCCCATCTTAATCTATTCATCCATAACATTACTCTAACACTTTTGTGCTTTTTTTTTTTCTTTTAATATGATCTCCTTAGAAGGCATATTATTCCTTAAACAATCTAACACAAGTTCTCAAGTTATCTCAGGATAGTTATTTCAAAAGACAATGCAATATTTCATAATAAACATTTATAATCAGATTTTTAACAAAGTAATTCATCATATAAACAAATGAATCAGTCAGACACTAAATAAATATTTGTACTGGTAAATACTAGCATTTTGCTTATAACATGTAGGACCTGATCCTGCAAGCCCTCTGTATACATCTTTATCCCCACTGAATGATTGGTTTCATTTCACCTACTATTTTACTTAGAGCTGAGCAAATACTTTCTGGCCAGTAAGTTAAATAATTGAAATAAGCACTGGGACATGTCCCAGGAGACAGTGATTTCCTTAGATGTCTTTGTAAAGAATTACTTTTTTCATGTTTATGAAATCATCACAAACATTTATCAACAGGCATTCAGTTTTTTATATTTACAATCTGAGTTACATCAGGTAGCTGAGATTGATCAAATAAATTGTATGTTCCTGGTTCTTGGCTTTATAATTGAACAAAGTGTGACCTTTGTACTCAATTTGAAGAGCTGTTTCCAAGAATTATTTCATAAGTAGTACTGAATTTTACTTTCTCCAGACATATGAGCTAACAATACTGGGCTAGGAAGGCAAGAGTCTCCAGGAAAATAACAAGCTGGGAGTTCTCCTTAGGGAGGGCAGATAAGCATGAATTACCTTCTGTTCTCATCTACCACAATTATTACCTTATCCAAGGCAATGGCGACAGCCTTTTTTAAAGCTATGGACAGCACTTCAATTCTGAGTTTACTCACTCCTTTTCAAGGATGCGTTTTCCCTTGCATGGTAAATCCATAACCAGGAACCACAGATAAGAGACTAACTGACCTACACATCCTCCTCATGCCTTAGGAAATTTATCAGGATATCTTCATACAAACAGATGTGTGAGTGAATTGCAATCTCTCAGGTTTTCGAAAGGAAACACAGAAGGAGTCAGTTACAGTGAAAAACTTACAAACTTCAATAATTACTTACTTTTTCTTGCCCAGCTCTATTTGAAATATAGTTTGAAATCAAGGGTACTGAGGTTATTAGACGTACCCACTGTATTAATTTCAGTTTGGCTGAATTCTGATGGTTTTTGGATGCCTTTGAGCTCTTACCACAGGATAACATGAAAAGTTCCAAGCATGTGGCAAAAATAATAACAGTTGTAACAAATCACTGCTTGAACTGAAAAGAGAAACATATTTTGAAATTACTCTTTCTATATATCTATGTATATAGGGATATACACACAAGTACACACACATGCACATATATATATCCCTATATAAACAGTTCTCTAAAATACAGAAGTTGATTTTTTTTTTTAAAGATCTCTATCCGGAAAGATAAATCTTAATAGAGTCTTACAACCTCCACTAATGTAAATATATTGGCAAGGAACTTTGACCAGCAATAGTAACTTTCGAAACTTAAATAATTATTCTACAAGTATTTTAATTTTAACAACAAATTGCTACTGAGTACCAATATTAAAGGAAAATGTAAAAAAGTTGATTTTTTTTTTTAAAGATCTCTATCCGGAAAGATAAATCTTAATAGAGTCTTACAACCTCCACTAATGTAAATATATTGGCAAGGAACTTTGACCAGCAATAGTAACTTTCGAAACTTAAATAATTATTCTACAAGTATTTTAATTTTAACAACAAATTGCTACTGAGTACCAATATTAAAGGAAAATGTAAAAAAAAAAAAAAAAAGAAACAGTTTTAAGCTCTAACACTGTATCAAGTGCAGCTATATGAAGGGAATGTTCAAATTAAGGACGCTGGTTCACAAATCTTCTAAAGTGTACATAAGCATTTGATTAAACCCTGTTCCTTGTGAAAATAAAGTTTATTTACACTTCGAGTGAACAACAAGGAGGAGTTTGTTATTATAATAAAACATTTAAGGACCTTGGTAGCCAGTACCAGTTGTATTTGCAAGTAGCTCCTCAGCTTTTCTTTTTTTTGTTGTTAAAAATAAAGTTACAATCATAGTTATTAATTTACTTTAAAAATTCTAAAGATGAAGAAAAGTAGCATTTATACATATAAGTCCTCATATAAATTATAAAACTCAAATTTATCTTATAGAGTTCCATCCCCAGAAGAAGCATAAAGCACTTTTGTGGTACCTTCACCAGTAAATATTTGTATCACATCAAATTTGAGAAATGCAACAAAATGATACTGCATCCCGAAGCTGAAAAAGAACATTCTCCTGATGCAGTCTCTTGTGATGGATGTGCTCTGTGGAATCATATGATTGCGGTGACTTGACTGAATTTCAAACAAGGGAAATACGAAGGAATTAACCTCACCAGTTGAGTAGGTACAAGAAACATCAGTGAACAGCAGACTCATCACATTTGAGGTCAACAGTCTTTGGAAAACAAGGAGGGATTCTAAAACTACAACAGCAAAATCAAATAATAATAACAATAATGAGGTAAATTCCTCTAAAAAGGCCAAATAGGCTGAGATGTCAGGAGAGAGTTTGATTGTACCTGACACCCAAATGTTTCTGTAGCCAGAGTTCACCAAGTTGCATGGTAGAGGCAAATGTACCTGCTTTGGACCCTAAGCACATTTTATATTGTTTTGGATCTAAACTGGGGTCACACTGAACTGGATGAAAAATATGGACGACTCCTACTTCTTGACTTCTGAAAGCCTTCAAGCCAGAAGTTATCACCTTAGTAAAGAGGTCTACATCCTCAAGTCCCCAGCCTTGAATTGAGGTATCAAACCCACCAGCAGCAAGTAAGTCACTTTTGTAAATACAGGTAATTCCAAAACCATACTCCCTCCAAAATCCAGTTCTTTTTGTGAAAACAAAACTACTGTCAGCTGCAGGGTTGCCTCCGTATACTACTTTTGGATCATATTGGCTAAAGATGATAGGATAGTAAACCTGTTCTCCCTGAATAGTGTTATCTCTGCATCGCTGGAGGAAGTCTGGTGTGAATACCAGATCAACGTCACAGAACAGCAGCAACGTGCCATTGTCAAATCGAGATGAAGCCATTTCAAGACCTAAGCCTCTAGAAAACTTTCCTGCCATCGGAATCAGGGTCATATCTGCCTTAGGATATTTAATGCTGTATTCTTTCATTAGCTCCATGTGTTTGCTGGAGTCTTGGCCCGACTCAGAACTGAAGAGAATTATTGCCAACTTTACATTCTGCCTGGGAATCAGACAAGTCTTCTCAAAGTTATCCATAAATCTTGAGAAAATATCAAATCTTCCTGTAAGAGGGACAAGAATATGTATTTTCTTGTCACTGCGTTCCCTAAAGTCTTTGGTGCCTTGGAAGGATGAGGAAAACATCTTTAAAGAATTTGAAAGAAAAGAAAAAGACTGAGTGTTAGTGTTGGTATCCTCCAACAGGCTTCTTACATCCAACTCATCTGCTTCTTTGAAGAAAGGTTTACTAAACAGTTGCTGCAGGTAAGTGTGGCGTCTCACCGGAACCGTAATTTTCCTTCCTTTGTGCCGCTTGTACAAAAGCAGTAAATCCAGGATGTATTCCACTCCATGCAGAGGGTTCACCCTGCGGTAGCCATACTGTACTTCCTTGAAATCAATTAGCCTTCCTCTAGATCTAGAGTTCTCATTTATCATTTCCATGACTTGCATCACAGTGTCATCCAGTGCAGCCTGCAGGACATTGCTCAGGCTCTGCCGCGGTGGCTGGTTCTCCACCATTGAGTAAAAAAATTTTCCTGTCAGAAACTCCCACTCGATGACTTCATTCCTTTCATGTGGCTGGAAATTATTGAAAGATGGCATCACTCCCAGTTGCTGATCTTCCTTATTTACCTCGCTGTTACTGAGCTTGCTCATCAGGGCACTTTCTCTGTGGAGCTGGATAGTCTGATAGCGCAATTCGGAAATTTTGCGACTCAGTATGTAATTGTGCAGCCTGTATTGATAGGCTGGTCTTTTGTTTGGATGAAGTGTTATGGCTGTGTGAATCTTGCTGTTGTGAAGATCTTGAATGTAACCCTTGCGGTTGTGTTCATAGTTTTCATGGAACAATTGCTGCATCTAGAAAGTGAGAAAGGAAAAAAAGAAAGACATTAAGTGGAAGCACTTCTACCCACAAAAGGACCCACATTGGTCCTGTTGATCATTACCAATTCTTATAGATCGTGGCTATTTTTAGGCACAGAACTTTGAAGTATTCAGCAAAATTTATTTACACTGTTTTGGTCTCTGTTTCAGCACTGTCCACAGTAAGCAAATATTGTCCTCTACCTAAACAAAAGGGCAGACACCATGGTTTTATCTTTACTTAATTTTGCTGCAAAACTAAACAAAACACTTAACCAAAGGTCTGTAGGTAATATTTCTGAGTTCCTAGGTGCAGGCTGAATGCTGCTATGAATGAAATATTAAGTCTTCACCTACATAAAAATTTTTATTAGTACAGATCCTTACTGAAAGGTTAGCAACATTTATGATGTTTTTTAAGAGGACCCTGGATTTTTGTCTATGGAGCACAAAGCTGCTTGTATTTCCTACAGACATACACAAATAGATAGTGCTACTTAACATGCCAAAACTATTCAGACTTCATTTCAACAAAACTTTTTTTTTTCCCATATGGACAAAGAATTCAATGACTGAACTATAACCACTGGAATACGTGTGTTGTCAGGGTTACATCACAGTACATCAATTAAGATACAGATCATGCTAATATAACTCACCCTGGCTAATTTCCAATGTATTCCTGTGACAAGAAAAGACATTCTACTTCTGTCAAATTAGGAACTGTAATATCTTCTAAATAGCAAAGAGACACATTTTATGGCTGAAACACAGATGAAGGATTTAAAGTGTCTGGTCTAAGTTTGTCTTTTATACACTGAGGAAATCAAGACAGGTGGAGTCTAATGACAGAATGTGTCAGACTCATATCATTTAGCATATTTTACTTTCTAAAACCGACGTTTTGCTACTAGAAGTAATATTAAGTATAGTGCAATAAATGTAAAATAACTCCTGACAAAGCTAAGAACCATGACAATTATTTAAAATCCATTAGCATGGACAAGAAATACACATTGTCACATTTAGAAAAACATAATTTTAACATAAAATTTCTAGAATCTACCTCCCACCTCATTCAGACCTCAAATGACTCTGTGCAAACATAGTTACTACTATTAGTCAGGTCAGTATTTTTGAGGCTGCAGTCGTATCACATGGAAAAGCAACACTCTAATACTGAGAACTACCTTGAGTTATCTCAAATTTGCCTTTAAGAAAACAGTCTGTTTATAGTCTGTCTGTTATGTTAAAGTAAGAGTGAGTGTGAAAAAACATAAGTAGTTACAAAATTACTCAAATAATCCTTATTCACAGAACTCCTACCTAAAGCTGTCAAAGCACATTTGTTTTGTCTTGAGAGGTGGGTATTTTACTTGTCATGTGAGATGAGAAGAACCAGTGGCATGAGTATTTGACCAATTTCCTTACTATCACAGAGAACAAGAACCAACATCATCAGTACTGAGTCAGTGTTAAACCAGCAGTGCTGGCAAAATCAGAATATGGCTTCCACAAGGACAAGAGGCAGGACAAGCATATTGGAGATGAGTGATTGAATTAGAGAAAAGTGCCCGGGAAAGGGCTTTGTGGGGGTATTTCCTCTTTGGAAGAATAATTTCCCCTTTTCCATTTTATCGCTGTAAAACTGAATGCTGTCTTCCTATTGTCCAAATTCTTCTGTAACCCTTGACTTACTACAAGCTCAGCTTCACAGCAGATTCATTAGCAGCATTCATTTAACAGGAATATTCTAGTAACATAAATATTTTTACGTTAAAAGTGCATTTTTATGACATTCCAATTTCAGTTGCTTTGGTTTGTGAGATATGTTCCAATGAAATCATAGCAAGAGGATGCACTACATTATAGTAATGATTTTGCTTTTGATAATCAACAACAGATTAAGAGCAGCAATGAAAAAAAATTGAATCAACTCAGTAATACAATCTTATCATACATATACAAAACTGTACTAATGCATTTTACATTATGTTACTGAACACTTTTAATAGATCTCAATACAGAGAAAACATTTCAGAACAAATATGACACTGAAATCATAAACTCTTCCTGAAGATATCATGTTTTAATCACACAGAAATTTGTTTTCAATATTGAAGGACAAAAATGTCTTTTCACAACTCTAATTACTAACATCTAGATGAAAGCTATTCAATGTGATCCTATCTTAGCTTTGAAATTTCTAAGCAAGGTGGTGAAACCTAGGAGGCAAAGGGAAAGATGATTAAGTTTGCCGGAGAACGGATCTGTGCAAGGGCCTGAATTGGTCAATGTAGTCATAAATGATCTTGAAAAGGTGGTGATTTGGGAGGTGGTGAGATTTACTGAAAATAAATTAAAATTATTCAGCATGGTAAAAGTAAACCTGCCTGCAAAAGTTTTCATGATTTTGAATGGCTAGGTAATAAATTGCAGGTTAAATTCTGGGTAGATAAATGCAAAGCACATGTGAAGAAGGCAATCCTAATCACACCTGAAGAACATCAGACTGTGTGCAAGCTGTTAGCACTCTGAAAAGATAATCTAGTTACACAGTAGGTGATTCTGTGCAAATGTCACATCGATATTCAGTGCTGATGACAGGAAAAGCAAATAGCATGAGGACAAATCTAGAGATAATCAGAAAAATCATTATATGGTTGTGTCCATAGTGCACCCGAATCTTGAAGGCTGTGGGCATATCGTGATGTCCCATTTAAAACTGGTAGCATATGAGTAGAAAGGTACTAACCAAGGCCACCAGATAATCACATGTGTGGATCGTTAGATGAATAGATGACTAGGGCAAAATGGAGTAATCCAAAGAGGGTCAACCGTGAGATCTATAAAGTCATAAGGGGAATGAATAGGAATAGTCACTGTGAAGAACTATGACACATACAATGATGCCCTCAAGATTCAAAAAGAGAAAAGTAAATACTCACATAGCTCAATCACAGAATTTACTGACACAGCAAGCTGCTGATGGTAAAATTTTGTAGGGCTCAACAAGTGAGCCAACAGGTTAGTAGAAGACTTCCATCATTGCTATGTTAAACATAGAGGTACACTTTCTCCATAATATTGGTGTACTGCAGACTCCTGGAGCTCTAGCTGAGGCTGTATCACAGTGTGTCTTTATTGCCTTATGTCCCTGTCTCAGCTTCTACTGATTACTACAGAGAGAGGATATTTTGTCAAACAAACGTTTAGTCTGACATCATACAACAACATTACGTTCACTCAAACCTGTGAATGGCAGAAGCTGTCTTCAGTTTAATATAATACACGAAGGCACAGTTTTCTGATTTTTTTTCATATTGCATGATTCTGTGACTTTCCTGAAGAATTTGATGTCTCCTGAACAATTCTTACAGCACAACCAACACAAGAGTTGGGAAGGACTTCTGCTTGCCTCTTTTCACGCCAGCTGAAACTAGAAGTTGACAAGAAATGTGAATAATCTAGTCATGCTCTGAGGAACTCCGAGCTGCAAGAAGGAATAAAAAGATGAGAAAAAACAAACCAGGATAAAGGCAATGCTTTGTTCTTGTGGCAGAGAAATACAATAGCTAATATGTAGGCACAGTTTAATCTGCTTTGCAAACTCTGAATCACAGTAATCTCTGTGATTTACTGATGTAATTAAAAAAGGAAAGTTTTTATTACATACACACAAAAGCTCAAATCAACCTACTTTATTATTACAAGTCTATCACATATTCAAAGATTGAATGCAAATGGTGATTTTTAAATTAACATTTTTTTTCTTTGAGCATTATTTAAGAACAATTTCTCCCGTTTAACAGAGAAGACATGGAACTTAATCCTCCATACACTCTAGCTCTTCCTAAATGTACAATAATACTAAACTGTTGATCATTTTATCTAAACTGGGCTTGTAATAACTAGAAATAAGAACAGGAATTATTCCTGGTCTTTTTTTCACCCTGCTCTTTAGAGTTTAGCTCTCTAAAGATGAAGAATTATTGACTATTTCAGTGACTTCAAGGGCCATTTAATATGTATGAAGAACACATGTAAAATCTACTTTGTTCAAGATGATACTGTTTGGCTGAACGGCAGTGAGGTAAGAACCTTAACTGAAGGACGAGTTAAAAAAAAAAGAATTCAAGTAACTACAGGCACATTAGAATATCCTCAAAAATGTGTACTATAGTAAAATGCAACACTAAGTGGCTAATGGCTAATCATAAATTTCTGGACAATAAAACAGATTTCAGCAAGTCATTTGGTATAGTGCTATTAAAAAACTTTCAGCCTGGAGAAGATAAGGATTAAGACCGGAATCATGAAATGCATATGAACTAGATAGCAGAGAAGCAATATCCAGCTATGTTCAAATGGGGAACTGTCATTCTGGAGGGAAGTTATTACAGAAGCTTCTGAGGAACAATATCATACCGAGTGACACTGGTACAAAATCTGAGACACTGCTCACAACACAAAGTTGAGGACATCATGATCAGACACCCCACAAGAAGAGCCC